ATTTCTGTACATTTTTTATTTCATATTCTGTATAGTTTTTCATATTTATATCCTGTTCATAGCCTGTACATAGCTTGTACTCACTACAGCCTGTACATACTTATAGTTATAACATACCTTCATACCGTGTACATTATAACATACCATAATAGACCCATTTCTGTAATATACTTACATATCTATATTATTTGTAATATATCTATATCAGGCTAAAGCACTTCTGGATGGATGCAAACTGCATTTCGTTGCCTTGTACCTGTGACATGTGCAATGACAATAAAGCTGAAGTCTATTCTATTCTATTCTATTCTATTCTATTCTATTCTATTCACTTACAGTGATCACTTTCATAGATATGTAGCATAATTGCATAACCTTGTGTAACGCAAAACAAATCATAAATCATTGCAGAGATTGTTTAGTGTTGTATTTCCTTGTACATTACTACCTAAGTCAGTAAAATTTGGGTTTTATTTGTCATTTCTGGCACTCATTCAGCATTCAAAGCTGTGCTGTACACAATTTGCTTTGTAGTTGTAATCATCGGTCCTTGGGTTTGATGCATTTTTCTGGGAACACGAGGATGGCCATTTTCAAACTAAAGATGGATGTTGAGTGAGGAGGGCAATAACATAAATAACTCACTGTTGACTCTTTTGGTTGTTATGGGTTTTCAACCTGCTGCTTGGCCCTGCCAGCCATAGCGCTGATTTCTCGCTCTCGCTATTCATCCTCCTCCTCCTCCCTGTTTTGTCATTTTCAAACTTGAGTCGGCATTTTTTTTTTTCTTCTGCATAATGTGTGTTTCATATCTAAGAGATATGTGTTGGCTGGGTTCTTTGCTTTGTAGCTTCTGGGGTTATAATATGCTCTCTTTTACAGTTTACGCTGCATGGCCTCATTTAGAGAGCACCCTAAGGTTCAGTGCGTTTCCTGCCAAATAAAAGTAAGTTCTTGGCAGTAAATGTTTGAAAGCACCCAAATGTTAAATGTGTCTGACTCGACTTCTGGCCATCACATGGCAACATCAGTCTTTCTGTTCCCTGAATTCAGTTTATAACACTGCAGTGGCTTCTCATGCAAAGGACTGACACCTATATTTTGGGGGAAATCCAAAGTTTGTAGAAACTGAGGGCATGTGTAATGTCAGCAGCACTACCTGAAACTCTGATTTGAGTGTCTGCAGAGGAACAGATAAACAGACTCAAAAACAGGCTAGGACTAAAATTCACAGACCTGCAGTGGACAGTAGGAGGAAGATGACCGTCAGGACATTGAAGGACTGCCGGCTGGAGATAGTCATCTT